ATAAAAATAAGGAAGACAGGAGTGGCCATTCCAGGAAGATAGTGCTAAAAATATTATTATACCTAAAAGGACACAGACCTTCGGTGAGTTCCTAACAAATTACCAAGTACCATATCGATTGAGCTCTAAATCTAAAAACTAAAGAACCAAGCTCAAACAAAAGTAGTTTTAATATTATAATATCCACGATTTGCGCAAAACTATTATTCTAAATAGATAATTTAAAGAATAATAAATCTGTAGTGCATTGTTTTCATAAAATCCGCTCGCTTGTAAAATTCTCAAAAGGTATGAGCTCTCTGATGATAACTGCAATGATCATAGTATCATTTGAATCAAATACGATATAGCCATAACAGTTATACACGTTTTTCTCATAGATCACTCAGTATTCGTGAAAACCGTATGAAAATTTCTAAGTTTATCGTATTCAGACAGACAGACAAACGTTTAAGGTTTTGTTTCATAATAGGTTGGGGAAAAAGTCTTTTCGCATTATAGTATGTATGAACTTGTAATAAAATCTCTTTGGCTATACTATTTGTATCTGGTTGGTTTTGGTATCATTAGAAGTTTAAATTTTAAAGAAGATAATTCCAAATTCAAATTAGAAAAATGTGTGATTTTTATTTCTTTTTCGTACTGTCAAGATGAGTGAATCTAATGAAGAAATTCGATACATTTTAAAATTTTACTACAACAAAGGTAAAAAAGCAACGCAAGCCTTGCCGCGAAAATTTTTTGTGATGTTTATGGACCTATAGTGCAGTGCAGTGTTACAGACACAAGAGAGAGAGAGAGAGAGAGGCGGAGGTATGAGAGTAGCACAAGTCTGGTTTAAGCGTTTTCAATCCGGAAATTTTGATGTCAATTTTGGTGTCACTAATTATGACAACGATTGTGACGGTTTTTCTGAACTCACTGACTGATAATAGACAAAGTGATGAAGTATGTTACAAAGCTACACTTCAAAGCTTCCTTCTTCTTCTTTCTAGCGTTTTTCCGTTCTAATGCCAGGATCTGCTTTCCTACTTAAACTCCTCCTCCACTTTGCCCGGTATGGCTCCTCATCCTTCTGAGTGAGGTTATTCTCCTCCATATCCGCCTTTACCGCATCCAACCAACGTTTCTTGGGCCTAAAGTGGAAAGTTTTCCAAAGTAAAAAAATTTTTTTTTTGCCCTTGTAAGCATATACGGCCCACCTGATGGTGAGTGGTTACCGTCGCCCATGGACTTCAGCAATGCCAGGGGCAGAGCCAAACGGCTGCCTACCGAAAAAACCTATGGACTGAAAAAAAAATCGAATACCAAAAAAAAACAACAAATTGAAAAACTAACACCAGAAGAACAAAGGAGAAAGAAAAAAAATTGAATTCACACTCACGTTATCAATATATTATGTAACACGTGGCGCGTACATCGCGACAATCTGTAGTTGATTTTACGTATTACAAAAATCACCGATTCACATATTCAGACTTCGACGCCTTTGTGGCTCGTCCAATAGGGTTTGGATAATACGGGAAACTATATCAGTCGGGAATGCTTGTGATGTTTAATATTTTTAATTTAACTAGGAACGAAGTCAACACTTAAACCATGCATCAATCCGCTGAGTTTCTCGCCGGATCGTCTCACCGAGTCGCGATTTACTGGTGATAGGACCTCTTGTAAGTCCGCACAGGTAGATACCACCACCCTGTCTATTTCCGCCGTGAAGCAGTAATGCGTTTCTGTTTGAAGGGTAGGGCAGACGTCGTAACTGTACTTGAGACCTTAGAACTTATATCTCAAGGTGGATGGCGCATTTATGTCGTAGATGTCTATGGGCTCCAGTAACCACTTAACACCAGGTAGGCTGTGAGCTCGTCCACACATCTAAGCAATAAAAAAAAAAGTTTATTTAACTTCATGTGCGTTTGAATGGAACTGGCAATTAAATCGTGTAACGAAGGTGAAAGTAATCTTGACGTTTGCCTACCTCCCTCGTCCTGATTCACAGCTGCAGCACAGGAATAATGAAAATCCAAGTTAAGCAGCTCCGTCGAGATTTTTCCGTAACGCAACGTCTCCGCCCACAATAACCTCACGTATACGACTCGCGTCTCAGCAAATCTAAATTCAAGGCGGGTCCAGTCGAGTGTTTTTCGAGCGCTTTCGCCCCCTCAAAACGAATGCCAACTATTTTGTATGCGCGGGAACATGACCATGATTTATTTACGTAAGGGGGAGGGAAGGGGAAAACGTGATGTCTCTCTTTTTATTTATGAAAGGAGCGCGTTGTCAAATGACAACGAGGCTCTGAAATATGGGCCAGAGGTTTGTCGTTCTTGTGTTCAAGTGGTTACAACTGTAGTTTGTATACGAGATCTTTATTTTATTGCTTCAGTACAGTGCGTATCAGAACTTGATTGATGTCATCCACTTTTTTGGTGTCTAATCGTTGGTAGCCTAAGGGGCTATTCCACGCAGACTGGCAGGTTGCTAACACCAGCCCTAGCAAGAGCATTGCTTCGCTGAATCTCCCACCGGATCGGAATCGTGACCCACTGAGAAGATCCGGCGAGAAACTCAGCAGGCTGTGTCTATGAGGTCGTCCAGATTGGTAATTTGATGCCTACATTTTTATTAAGTAATAGATGTCTATAGGTACGCAATACTGGTTCCTAAACTTTCCGTATAAATTATGTATGTTTCATGTTTATTACATCGTTCCTTGAACGTGGAAGTCATACGTATGTATTTACTACGAAATTATTGACAAAGCCAAAGCTTAATCACCATCGCCATATAACGAATAGAACCCCATCGATAAATAATATCGAAGCACTTTAAAGATTTCACAGCGAAGCGCGAAGTTCGTCATATATAAATATAAATATATAAATATTTACTAACAATCACGCCACGTTAACTGGTCCCGTGATAAGTTCTTAAAGAACTTGTGTTACAGGTACCAGACATCGGAAATAAATGTAAGATTTTTATTATACACATACATATATTTAAGATACATCCATGACCCTGGAAAAGACATTTTATATTTATCATACAAATATCTTCCCTTGGCGGGATTCGAACCCGCGATCCCCTTGTGTAGTGACCATGTCACTTACCACTACGCCAGATGGCCGTTATCATGTGATAACATCCATTTCGGCATAACCGAATAATAATTTACTCGGGCACTGGTAGCTTATCCATTTTTTCCACGAAACAGTCGTGCAAATTTCGGGACATTCTTCTTTACGACTTCCGCCTCACGCGTCAAGCTCGGCGGGATTCTAGAGATGTCAGCGGGCTTTGTACTTTGCGAAAGATAGGCGGCGAGCTCTTTTCCGTCTTCAGCTAGAAAAAGTGTAATGACAAAACTATCCAGCGAATAAAAATCATGTATCCATATTATGCATTCCACAGGATTAGGTATTTACTTACCCAATATTATGTGGAATATAAAAACTGCGTGATTTTCTCGACTTATTTTTTTTCTAATTTGTGGTAGGATGCTATGTGAGGCCACTCGGGTAGGTACCACCACCCTGCCTATTTCTGCCGTGAAGCAGTACTGCGTTTCGGATTATCGGGTGGGGCATCCGCTGCCTACCATTAAGGTGGCAACAGTTATGATACGCTGTTGATGTCTATGGGCTCCAGTAAACACTTAACACCAGATGGCCCGTGAACTATAAGAACAACACACAGTCCGTTTGAAACCTTACAATCTAATCCATGCCATCTATATTTAAAATGCAATAGACTGTTTGTTCACTACGCTTTCACGTCTTATGACGCTCAATCAACCATAATGAAATTTTGTGTACATTTATTTCCAGATATACCTAGGGAACCTATCATCATCATTCATCATCATTCTTTCCTATTACCCTCTGCTGGGTGTAGGGCTCGAATCAAAATTTTCCATTTATATCGGTCTTGCGCAGTCTGTTCTAGCTCCTCCCACGTCATGCCCAAGACCCCTAGCTCCTGCTCCACCGAGCGACGCCAAGTTGTTCTGGGGCGGCCTCTCTTCCTTTTGCCAGACACTTTCCAGGTCAGTGCTCTCTTTCAGAAGTGGGTATCGGGCTTTCTCAAAGTGTGACCAATCCAATGCCACTTCCGCGTAAGGATCTCCTTCTCCATTAGTGTCTGCTTAGTGATCCTCCACAGCTCTTTGTTAGTGATCTTTTCAGGCCAAAAGATTTTCAAAATCTGACGCAGGCACTTATTCACAAACACTTGAAGTTTTTTGATCAAGTCCTTGCGAACAAACCAAGTTTCGCTACCTATCATACCTATCATAGCCATAATATTTCAACGAGAAAGATAACCACGCACCAAGACATACTTTTTTCTGCTTTAACACGAGTGGAGTCACAGTTAAAAGCTAGTGCACATATAAAGATAACATATTATATTGGGATACGTATTTCAAAGATTTTTTGCACCAGTGCACAATATGGCCTGACGTTAATTAGATACCGCTCATGCACATCACGTGAATACCATCCATCTTGCGACGTGAGAGCATGAGACATCGGTAAGTGGTGTGCACTTAAAAGAGCGTCTCTTCCCGTCAAAGAGATGCCATCAAAGGTGACCACGGGAATGAGTAGCAGCTTTCTACAAGTATTAGACCAACGTATTACGATCATCAATTAGAATCCATTGGTTGTAGGGCATATTGTAAGCCAGCACAGGTAGGTAGGTTAAGACCTATTTTGCCGCAAAGCAATCATACCTTCTGATTAACGGTAGGGTTCTGGGGGTAACGTTAGGCAGAGGCTTGGCTCTGCCCCAGGCATTGCTGAAGTCCGTGGGCGACGGTAAGCCCTCACCATCAGGTGAGCCGTATGCTCGTCTGCCTATAAGGGCATTACAAAAAAATAAGATCCAGACAACCGCTATTTAGTACATTTGAAAAATCGACATCAAGCATAAAAAACAGATTAAATGTTCAGTGTATTTAAAACTCAAGGCATCCTCCGATATTTTTATTGATTTCAAAGCGGTAGACCCGTCACTGATCGTATCCAGGCTCTGGCGATAGGCACGTCGGTATAAACCCCTGGCTGGTTCTTCACTGCGCAACCGACGCCGAAGGACACTATGCCGACCAGCTTTCCTTTGATAATAGCAGGACTACCGGAGTCACCCTGGATAAAACACAGTCTACAATGTTTCTAGACAGGATCAGTAGAGAGTTTACTGTACAATAATAAGTCTATTACGTCCGTCTGGTGTAGTGGTAAGTGACATGGTCACTACACAAGGGGGTCGCGGGTTCGAATCCCGCCAAGGGAAGATATTTGTATGATAAATATAAATGTCTTTTCCAGGGTTATGGATGTATATTAAATATATGTATGTGTATAAGAAAAATCTTATATTTTACGAACTTATAACGGGACCAGTTAACTTGGCGTGATTGTTAGTAAATATTTATTTATTTAGGATTCAAAGACAACTTTTAAGCCCACACGCGCCTGTTTCGCCATTGTGTCTCTGTCTGGTGTGAGCTAATTAATCCTTCCGAAATAAACAGTCACACAATATTGAGTCTAGGTAGCGACATCTTAGGGAATACTGTGGAGCTTTAATGGTGCGTGGTATAACAAACACAGTAGTCCCGTGTAGTACAGATGAATTCTGCTCTCTGTGTTAGTAGTGTGATTTTCAAATGAAAACGAGGGGATTATCTCAAGGAATCACTGGTGGTAGGACTTCTTGTGAGTCCGCACGGGTAGGTACCACCACCCTACCTATTTCTGCCGTGAAGCAGTAATGCGTTTCGGTTTGAAGGGCGGGGTAGCCGTTGTAACTATACTGAGACCTTAGAACTTATATCTCAAGGTGGGTGACGCATTTACATTGTAGATATCTATGGGCTCCAGTAACCACTTAGCACCAGGTGGGCTGTGAGCACGTCCACCCATTTAAGCGGAAAAAAAAAGGAACACCGGCTTGGTATTCCCTGTGAAACATATCGTCTTTTCGTAATGAAAGTGTACAATTTCTAAAAATATTCGTAATTGAGTTAATATGCCGAATCTTTTGGTATCACCAGTATTTTTCTCATAAATACTGTCAAAAGAGCGTAGTTTAGTTTTAGTTTTTTTTTTTAGTTTACCTATACTTTGACTACTATTAACAAAATTAATATATAATTTTATCTTACTTTAAAAGACAGATAATGTAACTGGTAAAAACTAAAAAGTTGCAAAGATGATGGTAATTAAAAATATCATAATAATATGTTAAACCTTTAAAACACTCTCCTGTAAAATTTAGTAAGAGTTGAGATTATACATTTTTAATGCGAGAAAACGATATGCTACCAAACATAAAGGACAAAAGACTAGACATAGACGTTCCAAACAAGTAGGGTCTATAAACTCCATTAAAATTAAGCACCAGGTTATCCGTTAGATATGCAAGTTCTCTTATCTAACCGAAAAAGTAATTCAATTTATTTACTTGACAAGAATCCTTAGTTCCATTCTTGTAGCCGGCGCAGAACATTCTAGTCGTAATATTCCTGTAGTTTGGCAGCGGTAAAGATTTGCACTCGTAATAACTGATGACAGGAATATACGCCCGACGAACCACGTCTTGCATCAGCCTGCTCTGTACACACGAAGATTTTATTATTAAAAATAATAGTTTAAAAATATAGCAATTTGGAACGCCTTGTGGTGACCGGTAAAATAGAAAAAAGGCCTAGGGGTAGGGGCTCCAAACGGTGGTCGGACCAAATAGCGGAGGAACTGGGGGTACCTGTCAGTGACTCACTCCACCAAGCTACAAAAAAGGATCGATGGAGACAGCTGGTTGACGGAATCGGACGGAGTCACGATCCTCAGCAGTGAGAGACCGATCGAAGAGAAAGAGAGAGAGAGAGAGAGAGAGAATTTAAAAAAACTAACAAAATACGCTTTTATAGAAAATCCAACTAAAAAATACAAAATAAATTTAAATAAATTTGTATTAAAAATATAGTGTAAGAAAAAATTATTTTATTGTAAAAAAGCGTGGGGTACTCTTCAAGATATTATCAAAAATAACCCTTCTACTCATATGTGTTCATAAAATATAACTAATCAGGTCATAAGTATTGTCACACAGTAAAAACTTTTCTTTTAGAATGCTGGCCACAAAAAAGTTTATTGAATTCGAATTTCGAATTGTTCATGAAAATAAAAATGTATACTTTTAGAATTTTACTCATTTTTAAATATGGAGTGGACGCTTATAGAAGACCGTGTTGCAGTTATTGCGTTGCATCGTTGCGGTTACGCGCCAATTCAAATTTTTAACATACTGAAAAATTTGAATATAACCAAAAGATTCGTTTATCGTACCATCAAACGATACAATGAAGACTCTAGTGTAGATGACAGGTCAAGAAGTGGTCGCCCTCGGTCTGTTAGGACTCCAGCAGTGATAAAAGCTGTGAAGGCGCGAATTCAAAGAAATCCCAAACGTAAGCAGAAACTGTTGGCCCTTCAGATGGGGTTAAGCAGAACCACGGTGAAAAGGGTGTTAAATGAAGACTTAGGGCTTCGGGCATATCGAAGAAAAACAGGACATCGTTTGAATGCTCGTCTAATGGACCTGAGACTGAAGAGATGCCGCGCTTTGTTGAAGCGGTACGCGGGAAAAAAATATCGGGAAATTCTTTTTTCGGATGAAAAAATTTTTACCGTAGAAGAGAGCTACAACAAACAAAATGATAAGGTGTACGCACACAGTAGTGAAGAAGCGAGCAACCGTATTCCGCGTGTCCAACGAGGTCATTTTCCATCCTCGCTCATGGTATGGTTGGGAGTTTCTTATTGGGGCTTAACAGAGGTACATTTTTGTGAGAAAGGTGTAAAAACGAATGCAGTTGTGTATCAAAATACAGTCCTGACGAACCTTGTGGAACCTGTTTCTCATACCATGTTCAATAACAGGCACTGGGTATTCCAACAAGATTCGGCGCCAGCTCATAGAGCGAAGAGCACACAAGACTGGCTGGCGGCGCGTGAAATCGACTTCATCCGGCACGAAGACTGGCCCTCCTCCAGTCCAGATTTGAATCCGTTAGATTACAAGATATGGCAACACTTGGAGGAAAAGGCGTGCTCAAAGCCTCATCCCAATTTGGAGTCACTCAAGGCATCCTTGATTAAGGCAGTCGCCGATATTGACATGGACCTCGTTCGTGCTGCGATAGACGACTGGCCGCGCAGATTGAAGGCCTGTATTCAAAACAACGGAGGTCATTTTGAATAAACTTTAGTGTCATAAGAATCTATGTTTTGTTAAGTTCATTTTGGTATATGAATGGTTACATAAAGAATAAACTTGTTTCAATTATTTTACATTAAACATGTGACAGAATTTATGACCTGACTAGGTATATAACTACTGATACCATGCACCCCACGCTTTTTTTAAACTATTATTTATTTTAATTTTTTTTGTTGCATTTCAATTTATTTTTTTAAATATTGAATTGTCATCGATCCTTAATAAGTATACCAAATTTCGAGTTAATCCGACGTTTTGAAGGCGGTCAAAATCATGTTCAAAGATTCCGTTACATACTAACATACATACGTCTGAAGCTAATAAAAGCGTATTAATTACAACCATTCCCTCGAAGATCCTCTTTTACGTAGTCTATACAAGTCTTTTTAGGACCGTTTCCTCACAATATTAAGATTTAAACCATTTTAAAATATCATTATCATAAGCATATCCTGGCTATGATTGCCGACAGACTGGACTGCCTCTATATAAGACACTGTTAGTTGTAATAAGCATCTATCTCCAATCTTATTCCAATCATAATCCAATACAGTGACTGGTATGGTGGCGGTTACTCACTTAACATTATTTCATTATTTATTAGATCAGTTCCTTTTAAATTTTATAATTTTGATTCACTTTCATTTGATTTGTTTTCATTTTTGTTTATTTTTATTTTTAATCATTCTGATAAATTGTAATTTTAATTTTATTGTATTTTGATTTAAATAATATTATGTAATCGTATGTGACATTTTATGGGCTTAAGTTGCCTGAAATAAACGCATTTCGTTTCATTATGAATATACTCTAATATCTATCCAGTAGTTTGTTACATATTAGTTGAATATTAACATAGTGATGTGATCTCTAATTTGTAACACTACGTGTTTAATTTACACCCTAATTGAAAGTCCACGTTGTGTATTTAAAATAATAATGTTACTAATGGGTAAGTACCACTAACTGCGTTCTACCACGAAGCATTAATGTTTTCCGGTTCAAATAATTGCACTGACTATACACAATACAATTGAAATTTCGGCTTAATGTTTTTTTGCCCTACCTACTTGCTAACCTAGGATGCTATTTCAACTATGCTCCGTTTGGTAGGTGAGCTTACGAGGGTCAACTTGGGAGGACTTGCTAACACTAGCACCAGCAAGAGAAGTGCTTCGCTGAGTCACGACCCACTGAGAAGATTAAGTGAGAAACTCAGTGGGTTATGTTTAGCTGTGGGCTAGTTTGCACAATGAGAATGGTTAACACGTAATTTCGGATGACACGTCATTTCGGATCCTCGCGATCCACTAACGTTAATTTTAGATAACTCAAACTCTGGTCACCATTCTCGTCGAACCTGTTACTTGCGACGAAGTGCTCGACGAGTAAATTAATCCACAGACACAGCCCACTGAGTTTCTCGCCGGATCTTGTCAGTGGGTCGCGTTTCCGATCTGGTGGTATATTCTGCGAAGCACTGCTCTTGCTAGGGCTAGTATTAGCCACGTCACCAGGTTAGAGCCCCGTGCGCTCACCTATGCGTTCAGCGAATCTAGTATAACCCCTCAAGGTTACTAGAATGGGTAGGAAAAAAAAGAGAACGGCGNTTCCGATCTGGTGGTATATTCTGCGAAGCACTGCTCTTGCTAGGGCTAGTATTAGCCACGTCACCAGGTTAGAGCCCCGTGCGCTCACCTATGCGTTCAGCGAATCTAGTATAACCCCTCAAGGTTACTAGAATGGGTAGGAAAAAAAAGAGAACGGCGACGGGTGCTTGGAGAGCTTAAAAGCACGGGTCTGATGTCGTAATGCTGGCAGCATTGAAAGATGGCTCATACATCAGGTGGGCTATGATGGGACTAGTTTATCATCAATGCAATTCTTGTCTATCTACAAAAGTCAATTAAATTTACCTTATACTCGATGTGGCCCCAACCGCTGACCGATATCAAAGCCCCTGGCTGGATGTCGTTAGCATGGCCTATAGCAACAGGTCTACTTTCCATGGTCACTGGCACTGCCACTTCCAACAAGAGCAGTTGATAATCATAGTCATGGCTGTGGAGTTTTGAAGACGAGTTCCACAACGGATGAAAGAAGTGAGCGCAAACGGGATATCGGGTTGCCCTACTCCTGTATGTCGAACCGGCTAGGATGAAGTCGCTTTTATCTCTAAAAGAGAATATCTTATGGTTAATTAACTCCTTTAACGAGCCAACAATCTTACAGTGCTCAAACTTAAGTGGATCTTTACCACTTACCAACAGCACAAAACCGACCTAACACCAGTATTTAAGCAAATTTCGCACGTTTGCTTTAGAAAAATCGGTACCCGTCTACGGGATTTTAACACGGGCATCATCACATCGCTTGATATCCTATCCTAAACACGTGCCAGACGCGTGCTATTCGTCACGACTTCAAAATAATGTTGGACCCATCTGGTGTTAAGGTATGGTCGTTTTCAAGAATCCGAATCAAGAAGAAGAAAAAATAATTGAGTGCTTACTTGCAGTGAGCAGCCGTCAGAACCCAGTCTGGTGCTATCAAAACTCCACCGCAATACATACCATAGAGTACTTGATAGGGAATCTGTTTGATGCTAACTTGGTCCCCGCCAACGATTCTCCATTTAATCTTGAACCCAAATATAAATATAATTAGGTTTGGAGCTCTATACATTAGTTTTCCAAGTGTTTTTTTTATTATTATCGGTTCAAAAATATAGTATACAGGGTGTAATAAATACGTTTCAAAGCGAAAAGGGAGATTTAATACTATCTTAAAGCAAAAATAAAGTATCTCATATCTAGCTATTTAGTATTTTCTTCAACTCTGCCCAGTCGTTAATATAATTCAATTTTTTTATTGCTTAGATGGGTGGACGAGCTCACGGCCCACCTGGTGTTAAGTGATTACTGGAGCCCATAGACATCTACAACGTAAATGCCGCGACCCACCTGGAGATATAAGTTCTAAGGTCTCAGTATAGTTACAACGGCTGCCCCACCCTTCAAATCGCATTACTGCTTCACGGCAGAAATAGGCAGGATGGTGGTACCAACCCCGTGCGGACTCCCAACAGACCCTACCACCAGTAATTTTTGCGGCTTAATCTCGTGTCCGACGTTTCCAATAATTGACAGGTTTTGTTAGAATGAACAAATAAGGTTATTATCGACATTCGAATATTGTGCTACTACCGTCAAATTTTCTATAATAAATAATTCTCGATAATTACATTTCTGTTTTCAGTTATGGTTGGCACTCCAGAGAAAATGTCTGTCACAGTACCAGGAAAGTATTATATAGGACCTTAATACAAATTAGGCAGTTATAGTAAAGCGTGGCTGACCCTCACAAGCTCAATTTGTTTTTGATCTTATATGTACTACTGCGAATATAATATGTCGGCGCAACGTCACTATTTAGTTAACTAAAAATAGTTAAAGTTAACTGTTTCCATAATATTACGCTTGTCAATAACTGTTTAAGACGGTGTTCAGGAGAATTCATGACTAAACTACCCCCACTTTTTACTATAAATACGAGTGACTATTGTGGCAAAAAACAAAGTCATTTCGGATCCTCCCGATCCACTAACGGTGCTTTTAGGTACCTCAAACACCGGTCATCGTTTTCGTCGAACCCGTCGCTTGCGACGAAGGGCTCGACAAGTAAATTAACCCACAGACACAGCCCACTGAGTTTCTCGCCGGATCTTCTCAGTGGGTCGCGTTTCCGATCCTGTGGTAGATTCTGCGAAGCACTGCTCTTGCTAGGGTTCGTGCTAGCAACGTCGTCAGGTTTAGGCCCCGTGAGCTCACCTACTAGTTAAGGTTACGCTGAAATAGCATCTCAGGCTATCAGCTTAGGTAGGAAAGAAAAAAAACGCTCAAAACATTCCAGCCTGAGCTGTCGAACGGAGCGGAACTCTCTGTTGATATCGATGTAGGCTTGAGATGTAATAAACGGAATTCATTGGAAAAATGAGTCTTAATTACTATCACTATGCAAACCAACTTTTTTTTTCCTACCGGTGCTGATACCCTTCAGAGGCTATTTCAGCTTCACCCTAACGTTTGTAGGTGAGCTCACGGGGCTCAAACCGGAGAGTTGCTAACACTGACCCTAGCAAGAGCAGTGCTTCGCAGAATCTACCACCGGATCGGAAACGCGACCCACTGAGAAGATCCGGCGAGAAACTCAGTGGGCTTAATGCAATGGTAATGATGAAGAGAATGGCGTCGCATTTTAAAAACACCATGGAACTAGCCTGCTCCGTCATATACAATGGATCTAATGACTAGCTTTATAACATAGAGTTCGCCCTTATATTGGTTTTGTTAGTGGAATAAAGATATTTGATTATAATTTAAAGAAAATCATGTGCCTATAGCTAAAGCTACAAATTGTGCTTGCAAGTTTCAAGCTTTAAAGCATACTTCATCGTCAGCATCACTGGATTGGTCGGACATAGCCTCGTGGAAGTACTGGTAGTTTCTTGGCGCACTTCTCTTGGTGACGTAGATGCGGTGGTATTTCTTCACGCATTCAGGTGACAATTTCCCTTTGTATGTAACTGGAAGGAGAGCTTATTTTTGTATTCATCCGTAGTGATTTTTTGGCGGGAACGCGAGGAGTGAAGTTTTGTGATTTGTTTTATTTTGTCTATTTAGTGTTTCTTCAGGTTTAAATGTGTAATAGCAGTGTTTTATTTACTGTTTAATATCTGTGAAAGTGCACAAATGTGGGAAAATAAAACAAAGCCGCTGGACATAACTTCTCAGGATCCTCCAAAAGGTCGACTGAAAAATTTTCAGTAAATGACCACCGTTTTACTGAGATTATATTTCATATCATCTCATTTCATTTCACTCAATATTATAATTTTTCATAAAAATAAGAATATAAATTAAAATAAGACATGGCCTAAAGGTCCCAGTTACCAGGTAAAAAAATCCCTATAAAAAAAGATGAACAGGTAGTAATTAAACATTTTGCGTGATTTCTAGTCTCCTAGAGTCACTAATATATATTAATACGTGAAGCAAAAACTTTGTATCCCTTTTTACGAAAATTGCGCGGACGGAGGAGTATGGCATTTTCCACACTTATAGAGAATATAGAGAAGAAGTGCACGATGCTAATATTTTTTTTAAATAATGCATAAAAGATACATTAAATCAATAAAGAAAACATTACACACACTACATACCATGTATTTGACGCACACACGCATGCATACTATTTATTGTCAAACTTTTGTTCTTGACGTCTGTGGTCAAATTGAGAATAGATTAAATATTGTTTGTCTTTGTTAATATTTTTTATAGTGTAGTCTTGGCGAAATTTGTGATNCATAAAAGATACATTAAATCAATAAAGAAAACATTACACACACTACATACCATGTATTTGACGCACACACGCATGCATACTATTTATTGTCAAACTTTTGTTCTTGACGTCTGTGGTCAAATTGAGAATAGATTAAATATTGTTTGTCTTTGTTAATATTTTTTATAGTGTAGTCTTGGCGAAATTTGTGATTATAGAAATATAAAATAGAATCATAATAGTGTACAAACTTACAATTCCAATTAATTATAGTCGAATTTCGACTACTGCGGGACCTCTAGTTATCGTAAATGTACTAAAATAATTTTTGTATCTACGGACTAAATGTTATTAGCTAAATAAAATGTACATTAATGTGTTTCACAATATATTCTTAGGAACGATACGTCCTATCAAATATTAGTTTTTTTATATTTATTTTTTATTGCTTAGATTGGTGGACGAGCTCACAGCCCACCTGGTGTTAAGTGGTTATTGGAGCCCATAGACATCTACAACGTAAATACGCCACCCACTTTGAGATATAAATTTTAAAGTCTCAAGTATAGTTACAACGGCTGCCCCGCCCATCAAACCGAAACGCATTACTGCTTCACGGCAGAAATAGGCAGGGCGGTGGTACCTACCCGTGAGGACTCACAAGAGGTCCAACCACTAGTAATTACGCAAATTACAATTTTGCGGGTTTGATTTTTATTACACGATGTTATTCCTTCACCGTGGAAGTCAATCGTGAACATTTGTTAAGTACGTATTTCATTATAAAAATTGGTACCCGCCTGCGGGATTCGAACACCGTTGCATCGCTAGATACGATAGCACCGGACATCTTATCCTTTAAGCCAAGAAGTTTTGAAAATTTGGATACTATTTTTCTACGAATTTACATACCATTGTTGAAATCGGCCGTGATGAATTGTAATGAAAACAAGACGACAAACGGTAAGTGACACCAAGTCATGGTCGGATGTTAAATTGTAAATGTTCCGAAGCAAAACGTACAAGGAACGGTAGCAGTCTTTAATAATTATGTTACATGACGTACATAAGAATCGGGTAACATTGTAAATGACTGCATTATGGTTGGTTCGAAGTATCAGTTGAATGAAATATTTGAAATGTATTCAACTGAGAGGTCCCGCAGTAGTCGAAATTCGACTATAATTAATTGGATTGTATTTTATACTTCTATAATCACAAATTTCGCCAAGACTACACTATAAAAATATTAACAAAGGCAAACAATATTTATTCTATTCTCAATTTGACAACAGACGCCAAGAACAAAAGTTTGACAATAAATAGTATGCATGCGTGTGTGAGTCAAATACATGGTATGTAGTGTGTGTAATGTTTTCTTTATTGATTTAATGTATCTTTTATGCATTATTTTTAAAAAAATATTAGCATTGTGCACTTCTTCTCTATATTCTCTATAAGTGTGGAAAATTTCGTACTCCTCCGTCCGCGCAATTTTCGTAAAAGGGATACAAAGTTTTTGATTCACGTATTAATATATAGATATCTTTTTTGATTGGTTTTGTTAATTTTAAGTATGTTTCAATGATACTATGTACACATATGGATTTGTTGTTGTGGTCTGAAATTACGTTGCATTTACGTTGTAGATGTGTATGGGCTCCAGTAACCACTTAACACTAGGTGGGTTGTGAGCTCGTCCATCCATCTGACCAATAAAAAAAAATGCAGTTCCGTTCAGAGCTGCGTGGAATGAATTTTAACGCCAACCATAACATTTATGGGTATGTTTTTTTTTCACTCCATTGATGTCATTCATAATATTTCCAAAGATAGTTCTTTGTAACTAGAACGTAAACAAAATAACCGATTTCTTACTTCGACTGCGACAATTAGGGAATACGAAACTGTGACTAATATTTCGTTCACGCGATTAAATACAGCCATTAAAATGTATTACAGTAATGAGAAATATCAATACGAAGAACATAAATTAAATACGTGAATAATGAAGTCGTGGCGGCCTAAAAGATAAGACGCCCGGTGCACTCGTATCGACGGTGCCGGTGTTCGAATCCCGCAAGCAGGTACAATTTTTTTTATTTTTCTAACACACAATCACTCGCACACGTGTTCACGAATTATTTCCACGATGAAGAGATAACATTGTGTAACAAAAAACAAAGCCCAAGAGTATTTACAATTTGGGTAAGTACTTGTGCTAAGGCATACTGTAAGCCCGTATGGGTAAGTACTTGGTCCTTGCTACCGGTTGCAAAGCAGTCACGCGGTTCTTGTACACCTCGAGATATGACTTATTTTTTTTCCTACCTACGCCGATAGCCTTGAGAGGCTATATCAGAGTTACCCTGGCGTGTAGGTGAGCTCTCGGGTCTCAAACCGGAGGTGTTGCTAACACTGGCCCTAGCAAGAGCGGCGCTTCGCAGAATCTACCACTGGATCGGCAACGCGACCCACTGAAAAGATCCAGCGAAAAACTCAGTGGGCTATGTCTGTGGGTCTGTCAGAATTGATTCTGCAGTTTGTTTCCTGAGCGATATGAGATGTCCGTCTTCAAACCAGGAGCTGTAGACATTGTATCTGATACCCACGAGCATCGGTAGCATTAAACATTCGGGTACTGGCTTCACCACTCCCTGTACATATTTATTTTGTAAGCCGCTGACTAAACCCGAAACTTTTCATATTGCTTGTAAAATGATAACCCAAAATTCATGGTATTTAATGTATGTTCAGAACTATTGTCTGTTGTTATCAGAAGAAATGATAGGACTAGTTTTTGTGATGCGATAACGCCTTATAAATCGATGAATACCAGCTGCACGCACGAAAAAGTGTCACGTTCCGCTTGAACGTGGAAGCGAGATCGCACGATAGAGAGGCACGATGGGCCCAAGCGTTGGCTTGACACATTTATCTCTCTTCTCGCGTGACGTCACTAGCAGTTCGAATAGTTTTGCTACTGACCTTATCATATAAAACTATCGTGTATAAGCCGACTTTACAGACAACTAATCATATTTTTTTGTTTTTGCAATTTGATGTACTATGGAAAAGGCTTTGTGTTAAAACCGGCAGGAACGTAGTACAGATCAGGATGGTCTTCCAAAATTTTGTCTAACAAATAATTACAGTAAATAGTTTTCTATACTTCGAACATTTTATGTCGGGACTTCTGGTTTGTGTATGTAAAACCAATGAAGATTTCTTAAATGGTAACATCCTCTACGATATTGGGTCTCGCAGAGCACCGCGTTACACATGCCGCCGACAGGCAATCACGCGTCTGTGACGTATATCAAATGAATTAATGCCGCTACAAGTATCCATGTAAACCAATTTTACAAAAATAAATGTGGGATTGTAAGGCGAAAAACATACAAGCATACGGCCCACCTGATGGTTCGTGGTTACTGTCGCCCATGGACGACAGCAATGCCAGGAGCCAGAGCCAAGCCGCTGCCTTTAAATACTCTCCACAAGCCTCGCTTGAAGGATATGTCATAGCGCTCGGGAAACACCGTGGACCGAAGTTCATTCTAAAGCCGGATAGTTCGTGGCAAAAAATATATCTGGAAGTGCACTGTGGATGAAAGCAGTAGTTCTAGGTAGTATGGATAAACTCTACTCCGGTGGCGGGCGGTGCGATGTTAAAAAGGAAATGATGGGATCATCTCAAACAATTCCTCAGAGCACTCCTCATGGAACATCCAAAGAGAGAGGTGAAGTTCCTCCGTAAGCCCAAAGATACCAAATGATCCGTGAGAATAGGATCATCGACCATACGCACGGCCTTCTTCATTATGTCAAATGGAAGTAGCTAGTATTTGGGAAGAGATGGGAGCAGTCTTTCACGCGAGTCTAGACTTGTGCTTTGTAAAGCAAGTCTTTGTCCACGCGTGACGCACCGCCTCTCTCTGTTAAGGACTTTCAGAATTTTAGACGCCTAAATTGGTTTTGCCCTCCAAATCACTCCTATATTGGACGTCGATGGAAGAAACTTCAACCCCAAGTATTACAACACTCGTGGAAAATTGGTTGCTCCCTGATCCTACAACGTAACTTCAATACGCCTCTGCAGGTCATTGTTATCGACGGTCGGATTTCGGTAGTGTTTGCCACCGGTTGAAGGGATAAAAATCGCCTTAGCGCGATTCAGGTTTTTGCTGTATTTCTTATATTCTGTGATAGATACCGCTAGCAATGTATGATCACAATTTA